ACTCACTTGCATAAGTCACCACAGGTAAACAGAGTTTTGTTTCACTAACAAAGTCTAAATGTAAAGTAATCAAAGAAGTATAAAGAGTATGTTTACTGCTCTAGACATGCAAATCTTGGTTCGACTGGTCCTCAGCAAAATTGAGGTTGCTGTGTAGGCTGCCTCCCTCAGGCTGAAATGGAGCTATTGCCTTCATTTCTGTTCGGATAGCAAATGAGGTAGAAAAGCTTTCCTGGGTCTCCCACAGGATCACAATGATAGAGAGGGAAAAAGCAAAATATAAACTTCTGTCTCCAAGTGCGGCCATCTTTCCACACACCACAGCATGCCAGCACCAAGGGGCAAAATGAGTGAACCCAATGCTCTACAGCTAGAAGATGACAGGGCGAATGTCCAGCCAGGTAATTCCCTCCCTGAAGTCTATGCACTTTGCACTGTGAAAGCTATGACTAGACCTGCTCTAACACCGCACACGATTCTCCAGGACAGGTTTTCATCCTCAAGAAAGCCACCCTTTCCAGAAGATACACCGTGATAACCACGCAGATTATACATTCCATTGCAACACCAGCCTCCTCACACTTTTGCAAGCGAAGCCATATTTCTACCTGCTGTCTCTGCTTCCCAGAAATGCCACTGAGTAGAGATGCTGAACAAAGTAAGAAGAGAGAGAAGCATGAAAGATCGCTAACTTCTCAGACTGATAAAAAGCCTCAACACCTAGAATTCACAGAATGATTTAGAAATAATATCATTTTCACCCAATTCTCCTAACATTAACCACACACATAAGTGATCAAAGCACAGAACTTCTAGTTCTATAAAAGCCATACTCTTTTTTAATCACAGGGACTCTGAACACTATAAGTTTCTTGGCACATTCTGCAATCGTAATAGAAAGATGCTTATCCAAGAGGAGATGAACTTCCGACCAGGCTGAGTCAACATCGCGTGTTCCAGGGAGTTCACCCCAACAGAACGAGCCGCATTTTCTCAGGCTTGTCTTCACTCTCGTTGAAGGAGTTCCTGCCCTGACTCTTTGGACTTGAACTTTAGAAAAGGGCTTGGCTCTGCTTCCCCTTCTCAGAATGGAGGTCATTTCCTGGACACGCCACACCAAGCCACACCTGGCTACAGCCACTCGAGAAAGAAGTGTAAGCCTAGTATATAATATGGTTTTTAAACAGGGTTTCCTTTTTAGGATTTGAATACCTCTTATCAACATAAGTCTATATAAAGAAAAATTTCCGCCCTGGCCGGTTTGGCTCAGCGGTTGGAGCGTCGGCCTGCGGTACAGAGAGACCCGGGTTCGGTTCCCGCTAAGGGCAAGTACCTCGGTTGCAGTTTGTCCCCGGCCCTGGTTGGTCGTGCGGGTGGCAACCACTCGATGTGTCCCTTCACATCGATGTTTCTCTCTCTCTCTCTTCCTCTCTCTCCCTCCCGTTCTGTCCGAACAAAAAATGCAAAAATGTCCTCGGGTGAGGATAAAAAAAAAAAAAAAAAAAAAATTTTCCAAGATAATCAGTTGCTTGGATTGAAGCCACACATGTGCCTGTTTGGCTGCCTCCTGTCCAATCCTGCTCTTCCTACCCCAATCCTGGAGATACCCAAATAATTCTGGACCCAGAGACATAGAAAGGAGTATGGTTCAGACTGACAAACTTCAGAGGTGGGGAGTAGGGGGAAGGATGAGATAAACCAAAGAACTTATATGCATGTATGCATAATCATTGGACATAGAAAACAATGCTTGGCTGGGGGCAGGATAGGGAGGAGGGAGTCTGGGGGGATAAAGGAGAACCATCTGTAACAAAAATAATCTAAAAGAATTTAGAAAAAAGAATTCTGGACTTCAAATCATAGTTCACAACCAACTGGTGTAAAAAACCATCAAGGGCTTGGGAACAGTCCTTGATCTGCAGTTTCCTCAGCTGCAAAGTGAGCACCGTCCCACCTGAGGGGCGGCACTGTCCTGAGATTCAGTTTTGGGAAATTTACTGGTGGATGCTCAGTTCATAGTCGTCGTTTCCCTCTTAGTTCCCATTTTCTTTTTTTCTTTTTTTTAATCCTCACTGAAGGATATGTTTCTATTTATCTTCAGATAGAGTGGGAGGAAGGGGGAGAGAGGGAGAAAGAGAGAGAAACAGCGATGTGAGAATGCTGCTATTTTCAATATTATGTTACCAGGAAAGAAATCTCTTCTTGGCCAACACATGCATTTCCATCCCATGCACTGGATGCCTCTTGCAGGTGATGCCCAGGTGGACCTGCAAAGGAAGAGGAGCCTGAGCTCACAGTAGCATGTCTTGTCCTACAATTCCAGATCCGGCACGTTCGGCCCTGCTTTTCTGTGGACCCAAACACCTGTGCATACCCATAAGGCGCTTCATGCTATATTTTTTAAGCTTTTTATTGACTTTGAAGTGATTTCAGAGGAAAATACCTGATAATAAGGAGATTATCAGGCCTCGTGTAGAATCCAGAGACTTCGATGTACTTCTGTTCCAGGAACCTTTAGAGAGAAGCAGAGGAATGCACAGAGAAAGCAGGGCCTTAGGAATCAGGAAGATCAGGTTTGAACTCAGGCTCTGTGAGTCACCAACTGTGTGACCTCAGTCAAGACACTGACCTTCACCCTGGCCGGTTTGGCTCAGCAGTTAGAGCGTTGGCCTGTGGACCAGGGATTCCCGGGTTCGGTTCCTGCTACGGGCATGTACCTCGGTTGTGGTTTGTCCCCGGCTTCGGTTGGGGTCATGTGGGTGGCAACCACTCGATATGTCTCTCTCACATCGATGTTTCTCTCTCTCTCTTCCCCCCTCTCTCCCTCCCGCTGTGTCTAAAGATAAATGCAAAAGTGTCCTCAGGTGAGAATTAAAAAATAAATAAAAGACACTGACCTTCCAAATATTCCATCTCTTCATCTATAAAACAGGTGTTTACAGGTGTTCCTTCTATCCACCTCACTAGACTGTTTTAGGATCCAATGAGGTAAATACATGAAATCTTTTGATGAATAGTCAAATAAACACACACACATATGTTCCTTATTTATTTATAACTATTATTCTCAGAAATGATAACAAGAGTGATTACTGGTTTGTCTTAAGTGTGAGACATTGGTATGTTACCTAGATAACTGAGGTGAAAATAGAGATATAACATTTTACATCTGAAGCAATAATGACTTCTAAACATTTAACTGACCCTATTCTTGCTGAGTTTTACCATAAGTCCCTTAGAGCCAGATACAAAGAGAAGTCTCATTCAGGCCATAATTTCAAAAGATTGGCAGTCTAACGGAGGGGAAATAAACACTAAAATATAGGTAGTGGGGGCCTTAGAGGGACCCACTGAGTACTGTGGGAGCTCAAAGAAGGCAAAGGACATATCCAGACCGCTACCATGGACGTTCCCCGAGGTACAGAGTTTCTGGGGAGCACTGAAGGTAGGTAGGATGTTAACAGGTAGAGATGGGGAAACATTTCAGGTGGAAGACACAAGGGATGCTCAGGAAAACGTGCTCCACCAGAGTGTAACTGAAAGTGAAAACAGAACATTCAGAGAGGGCCATGCCTTGAGGGTGTCGCGTGACGAGTGGGAGATTGTGGTTGATTCGGAAGGTAAGGGGGAGTCATGGAAGATTTCTGAGGAAGGGATGGTGAAATTGGAGAAGTGCTTTAGGGTGATCTGGAAATGTGGGAAGGGAAATATTCTGAGAGTGAGCGTTAGTGTTGGGGTTACGTTTTGGGGGTACACTCAAGTGGCTACCTGAAGTAGGACTCCCAAAAAAAATGATTAAAATACCACAGGACAAGCAGTGAGGACCTACGAGCAGCTAAGCCCATACTTGAATCAACAGGTAGCTCCAGAATGAAGACTGTGAAGGAGTGACACACTTGCGGACAGAGGTCATCGGGTGCCTTGCTGGAACGGCTGAGAAGCATGAGGTGCCAACGGGCTGAACACAGAGGAAACTAAGGGCCGAACAACCAGAGGCACAGAGAGCAAAACGGGGAACGAGATGAGACCGGTGTGAAAGAAGAGAGTGGCAGACTCTGAACATTGAAATGTTCATACTACATGGAAAACAAAACCTGTGCCTACCTAGTAGATACCATCGGCTAGTGCTTTCAAATCACTCAAAATCTTGAAAACCCGAGTCTAAAGCTAGCATGACCTCATGTGGATCTCCGTCAAGAGGCAAAACACCTTCTGTTCCAAGGATTAATCCCTTCCTGGTCTGCTCGGCCTGCCCAGACCCACTAGTAAATCCTCAGGGGGTCGGCAGAATTTCTAAGCATCTGAGCGACCACTACACCCCGCCCCCACCTTTCTCCTCTAGACTCCCAAAGTTCAGGCTTCTCTAACACAAGGGCCACACGACCCTTGTTCCTTCTTGCCTTCCACCTGCCTCCCCGTCGTTATTCCCTGAGAAACCCTGGTTTCTGGAAGAGCTTATTCTCCCAAAACAGCCCACCTGCCTCAAGGGCGCTGTCTAGCGTGGAAGTGTCGCCTTGGAACACGGCTCCTAGACTTCATCCTAGAGACCCCCCAGACCCTGTCTGACGCCACACAGACCAGAGACTGAAATGGTCAGAACAAAGGTGACGGGACCAAGGCCACTCCCTCAGTTAAAAGTAGAGGCAGAGCCCTGGCCAGTTTGGCTCAGCAGTTAGAGTGTCGGCCCTCAGACCAAAGAGTTTCGTGTTCGATTTTGGCCAAGGCACAAACCTCAGTTGCAGTTCAGTCCCCAGCCCTGGTAGGGGTCATGTGCAAGACTATCAATCAATGTTTCTCTCTCACATCGATGTTTCTCTCTCTCTCTCTCTCTCTCTCCCCCCCCCTCGCTCCCCTCCTTCCCTCCCTCCCACTTTGTCTGAAAATAAATGAAAAAATATCCTCAGGTGAAGAGTTAAAAACAAAAGAAAAAAAGCTGAGACAGAATGAGATCCTTGAGCCCCATTGCCCATCCCTTGTTTCTCCCATTTGCCCCACCTAAATCATCTCTTTCTCTTCCCACACCTCTTTCCCCCCAGCAGTCCCCTCATGGCGTTCTTCACGTCCGCATTCCTGAAGGAATAAATGACGGGGTTTAAGAGAGGGGTGACCACCGTGTAAAACACCGCGACCACCTTGTCTGCTGGGAGGGTGGCACAGGGCCTCAGGTAGACGAAGGAGCAGGGGATGAAGAACAGGCTCACGACCGCCACGTGGGAGGCGCAGGTGGACAGGGCCTTGCGCCGGCCTTCGGTGGGCTGGCTCCTCAGTGAGTGTAGGATGACCACGTAGGAGGCCAGCAGGACCGCGAAGCTGATCACCGAAATGGAGCCACCGTTGGTGACGATGAGCACGCCGATGAGGAAGGTGTCGGAGCAGGCCAGCTTCAGCATGGGGTGCACGTCACAGAAGTAGTGGTCCAGGACCTTGGGACCACAGAAGGGCAGCTGGAAAATGAGGAAGGTCTGCCCAACAGAATGCAGCAGGCCCCCACCCCAGGCCGCTCCCACCAGGAGGCCACACACACGTCGGTTCATGATGACCGTGTAGTGCAGGGGCCGGCAGATGGCCACGTAGCGGTCGTAGGCCATCACTGTCAACATAAAGATCTCGGTGCCTCCAAGGAAATGAAGGAAAAAGACCTGTGTGATGCAGCCCTTGAGGGAAATGACGTTCCTCTCCATAAAAGAATCAAGGATGAACCTAGGGGCTGTGACAGAACAGTAACAGATTTCCACAAAGGACAAATAGCTGAGGAAGAAATACATGGGGGAGGAGAGCCCTTTGCTGGCTACGATGGTCACCACAATGAAGCCATTACCCAACACGATGGCCATGTACATGAGGAGAAAAACCACAGAAATGACCTTCTGCATATCCCGGTTCTGGGAAAATCCCAAGAAAATTATTTCAGTCACATTGCTGGTGGGGGCCATGTTTCAACGCACAGGGCTGACAGCCAGGGCCACAGGCACCAAAGAACTCTCCTTCGGTAATCAGAGCATCCCTTTCAGACCTGGAGGGTGACCGTCGCTCTGCTCCCTCTTGAGCCCCGCCTCGGCCTGGGGCTTCTCCCAAACATGTCCTCCACGAGACAAGCGGACAAAACTACAGTCATCAGGGGCTCCGTGATCTTCCTGAAATAAGATTTGAGTTTATAATAAAGCCGCCTTCGAGTGTTTTCTCTGATCTAGGCACGTGCATTAGCTCATTTAATCCTCACGACAAAAATGAGGGGTTGTTTTATACCTAAAAAAACTGAGACTCGGAGAAACTCGGTCACTAAGTCAAAGCCACACAGCTCGTATGTGAACTGAGGTCTGTATCTTTTATTTTCTGTTTTAACCCTCACCCAAGGATATTTTTATTCCATTTATCTTCAGATAGAGTGGGAGGAGGGAGAGAAAGAGAAACATCATCGTGAGAGAAACACATCCACTGGTTGCCTCCTGCACGACCAGGGCCGGGGACAAACTGCAACCGAGGTAGGTGTCCTTGGCCAGAATCGAATCTGTGACTCCTTGGTCTAAAGGCCGACACTCTAACTGCTGAGCCACACCAGCCAGGGCGAGGTCTGTATCTTTTAAAACGTAGAAGCTTCCACTACGTCTTCTGCCCAGCAGCAGCCTTCTCTTGGTCGCATGAGTTTCAGCCAGTTTTGCCTTACACCATAATGTGGAACCAATTTTTTTACAGTGATTGTTAGAGTCTCTCAACCTCAATTATTGTGCAACCAGTGGAACTGACCTGGCTCCCTAACAGGCATAGGAAAGAAACTGAGCCCTGGCCGGTTTGGCTCAGAGGTTAGAGTGTCAGCCCTTGGACCAAAGAGTTTTGGGTTCGATTCCAGTCAAGGGCACGTACCTCGGTTGCGGTTCATCCCCGGTCCTGGTCGGGATCATGCAGGAGGCCACCAGTTGATGTCTCTCTCTTTCTCTCTCTCTCTCTCTCTCTCTCTCTCTCTCTCTCTCTCTCTCTCTCCCCCCCCTCCCTCCCACTCAATCTGAAGATAAATAAGAAAATATCCTGGGGTGAGGATTAAAATTAAAAAAAGAAAGAAAGAAGCTGAAAGGGGGAGGGCAGTCACCGAGCTCCAACCGCTATTCCTGGAGGTGAGCGTGAGAGAGGAAATGAATCAGTCATGGGCTGCCTCCGCAGTCCCGGGACCAACGGCTAAGAAAGAATTCCAAAGTCGTTGAAGTTTCCATGTTATAACAACCTGTTATTATTGCAGGGAATGTGAAGCATGCTCAACTCAGAGCCCCAGAGCAAGTCCACGCTGGCAGAGGCCCTGCAGGGCGTCAGGGCTACCCCTTGAAGCACAGGCAAGTTCGTGAGACCCCGACATGCACTGCAGGGGCTCCGAGTGTGAGCACGGGCGATCAGACATGGAAACTCCACAGTCACAGCTCTGAGTGGTCACTCTCTTGGGGTCCGAGCCCTGCCAGCAGCCTCCATGGATACGCACCTCCCAGCCAGCCTGCAGTCACAGGTGAGAGAGCAGCGTGGTGAGTGGGTGACCGGGTCAGGAGAGCTGGGTTCAGTCCTAGCACTGCTGCTTAGCAGCCGTGGGACATTAAACAAGCACAGAAACTCTCCACGCCTGGGATTTTCATTTTTTTAAAAAACAGAAATAAAAATACCTTTTGCACCCAGCCAGTGTTGCTCAATAGTTGAGCGTCGTCCCATGCACCAAGAGGTCGCTGGTTGGATTTCCAGTCAGGACACAGGCCTGGGTTGTGGGCTCGATCCCCACTAAGGGGCACTCAGGAGACAGCAATCAATGTTTCTATGTCTCTCTCCAAAAAATTCAATAAAAATATATTTTAAAAAAAAATACTTTTTGCTTGGTGCCATTTTGAGAATTGAATGCACTCACACATTTTAAAACAAATAATACTTATATAAGAGAACGACTGAAAAGAGAATTCGAGTAGAACTGGATATGCTTTTACGCTGTCGATTGCCTGAGTGCGGTGTGATGGGGACTCGTGAAGGTGCTCCTGCTCCGGGAGGCAGGCCTGGCACCCCTCTGTGGAGACCTGCAGCCTCTGGGGTTCTGATTTAAGCGTCTTACAACAAACCTATGGAACAGTAGGCTATGTAAGGAAACAGGACTGAATATGCTAAGTGACTCGCTAAGCCAGTCACAGAAAGAAAAATCCTGTCTGAGTCTGCATCTATCCCTAGAGCAGTGAAATTCATGGAGACAAAGCAGAATGTGGTTGCCAGGGGCCGGGAAAGGGGGCCGTGGAGTTAGTGTTTAACGGGAGCACAGATTCCATTTGTGACCATGCAGGTTTTTGAGATGGATGGTGGTGATGGTTGCATAACAACGTGAATGCACTTGACTACCACTGAAATGTACGTGTAAACGGTTCAGGTGGCAAATTTCATGTTATGTGCATTTTACCTCAGTTAAATAAATAAACAAATATATAAATAAACTCAGATGACTCCCATTTCCCCTTCTGCATACCCACCTCCAAGGATAATGGTTGAAGCTTGGCAAATTTGTCTTTCCCTCCCCTCCCCCTTAGTGTCTTTCTTGGGCCTGTTAGGGAGCCTGCTTAGTTTCAAAGGTTGCAGAATACTTGTTGGTGAGAAACTCTGGCTCTTGCTGTAGAAAATACTTCCCACACTCCGGTGTAAGGCAAGACCAACAGGACACCCTTGTTATGCAACCAATACAAGGTGCTCTTCAGGAGTAAGAAACAATGAAAGCATTTGGAAAATACAGGCCTCAGTTCAAAACCAAGCTGTGTGGCCTTGGGCAAGTGACTCAGCCTCTCTGAACCTCAGTGTTCTTATCTATAAAATAGGCAGACAACCATCCTCCCCATCAGGCCCTCTGTGTACCCAGCCGATCCTCTGCCACGCATCGGTGGTCCACGTTTGGGATGTGTACGCAGAGAGCAGGAATCCCTGATGGGCGTGTCTCACCCTCATAGCAAAAATGGCTCTATTACTACTCTGTGAAATTTAGCTTTGAAAGTAAATGTCCTCTCCTTCTCTAATGGCTTCTGATTTGGGGTGTCAGTGAGAGAGTCCCTCTCAGGGGACATGCTAAAACCACTTTCGTTTTCAGATAAAAATTTTAAATTAATTTTTTTTCTTCCCAAAGTCGTTGAAAGTTAGCAGAGTGAGATGTATACATAATGTCATCATCAAATTTTCTCTGAAAAATTAAAATGTTGAAGTCTGTGGAATGAGAGAAAGAAAAGGAAATTGACACTTTTTGAAACTCTAAATGGAAATGGAAACTGTATTAGAGAGAATTTCATAAAGAGGTTATCAGACCCATGCCCTGGCCAGTCTTGCTCAGTGCTTAGAGCGTCGGCCTGCGGTCCAGAGAGACCCGGGTTTGGTTCCCACTAAGGGCACGTATCTTGGTTGCAGTTTGTCCCCAGCCCTGATTGGTCATGCAGGTGGCAGCCACTCAATGTGTCTCTCTCACATCGATGCTTCTCCCTCTCTCTCTCTCTCTCTCTCTCTCTCTCAATTCCTCTCTCTCCCTCCCACTCTATCTGAACAAAAAATGGAAATGTCCTCGTGTGAGGATAAAAAAAAAGAGGTTATCAGACCCTAAGCCATCGCCAGAGGCAGGGACCCACTTGTGGAATAACTTTCATTCTGCCTTTTTCGTTGGCAGGAAGAGACTCTGAAAGGGAAGCACGACATTTTATCAGACGGTAAGTACCTGCCCATTGTCAGGGTCTATGGTTCAGAAAACTGAAACAGGGATGACGCAGAAGCTTAAGAGAGATTGGCCCCAATACACAACCTGTGAAAAATGTTCAAGTCTTTACAATAAATCTGGGCCCTGCCTTATGGTTCTGCATTATCCCTTCCCTGTCACAGAATTCCGTGTCCCGTGGACTTCTGAAGAATAAGAGTGGTCTAAGCAGCCTTTTCCAGCATTCCCTTCTCACGCTTCTTCTCCAGAGACCGTCACCAGAGGAGTCGGCGCAGGGCCTCTCCATGCCGGGGCCCCTTACTGAGGAACTGTAAACTGTTACATCGGAAAGGAAGCTCATGAACTCTCCTCACAGAAGAGGAGCCTGGACCCAGAACCACACAGCGGGTTGGTGGGGCCTGGACTAGAATCAGGCCCCATGGCTCCAAGTCCAATACTTGCTTCCCTGCCCTTGTTCATCGACTCCGCCCCCGGTGCTCACCCAAAGCTGAAGAGCAAGGAGAGAGGAGACAGCCGTGCTTATAATCAAGAGCAAAGCAAAGCTGAAGAGTTCAGACCTAAAAAAAATCAACAATAAGAAAATGAACCACCATGCGGTCCACCCTCAGCCCAGACAGCCTGCGCAGAGCTCAGGCCCTGGAGAGCAGAGGAGATGTTGGGAGTCGGCCAACCCAGGCGGCCAATGAAAGGATCCTCGGCAAGAAACACCTCGGCAACAAGGTGCTAGTTCAACACTTTGTCACCAAGGGTTAAAATTTTCTCTAGCTGTTCCACGCACATTTGTCAGGGCTCTTCAACAAAAGAGCATGTAACCTTTAGAAGAGTCTCGTCTATCCACAGGCACCCTTTCACCAGGCGGGGAACTCAGTAGACGTTAATAAGTATTTGGGTTTGATCCCTGAACCCTCCTTCCGCTACTATATCTATTTCAAAACCAACGTATCAGTGCAGGTGTCTTTTAAAAACACATAAGGATTTTATATTTATATATAAGCATCAATATAAATAAAGAGAATAAAGTATATGTGGGGGTGTGTAGTATCTAAAAAAAAAAAAATAGCTCTTCTTTTTTAAAATCATTCCAAAGCATGCCGCTACAGAACCCACCTTGAGTATTGTTTGTTGCCTTGATTCTTAACTTTCTCTTCTGAGTATTTTGTAGTCAGAAAATTGATTCACTTGCACAAGTCACCCCAGGAAGTCGGAGATTTGCTCCACTAACAATGTCTAAAGATAAAA